CTTTCCATAAAAAGTAACTAGGTAACGTAATTAGTTACTTTTTTATGGAGTAACGCAATATTGTAATGCATTACTTTTAAAAGTAACTTTCCTCAACACTGCTGAGCAGAACTGCGTCTTAAAGAAACAGTTAAAAAGGAAAATCGTGCCAAGACTTGCTTTCAGAGAATATACACTGAAATGTATTATTAAAGTATGATTGCGTCTTGTTTCAAGCATAAATGGCGACAAATACAGATTAAAAGAGGTTAAAAATATATATAAATCCTGGGTTTGAAACGACAAACAGTCAACAATTTTAAATCTGCTTACGACTTGCTTTCAGAGAGTGTGTTATAAAATGATTAACTATCAGCATAAATCCACATTTTTGTCATGTTTATGCTTAAAATTATGCACATACAGATTAAAAGAGGATGGAAATGCAATTCGAAGCATTTGCATTTCTTTCTGGAACACAAAAGCATCTTAAAAAAATGGTTCACACAAATATGAAAATTGCATCGACGCAAAAGTTAAAGATCGTGGCTGAATATGACATGGGTTTGAAACGACACGAGAGTGAGTAAACAGAGTTCATCCTAAACATTTCCAGAAGAGTCCCATGTTTGAAGAAAGAGGCCGAGGAGGAGCTCTGACCGCACAGAAACGACTTCCAGCTTTTTAATTATTCAATTATCTGTGCGAGGACGAGCGGCCCATCTGCGGATCAGCCCTATTCATCATTTATTGGGAGAGACAGACGCGGGATCGTTTTACTCCATTAGCAGCAGGACCGGACCCGGGCCCTTTATTGTAAATGAGGGGCACAATTGTGCGATCTGTCACCGAAAGCATTGGAGCCGTCAGGAGAGAGAGGACTCAGATGTCACCAGTAGACACAGTGTCTCGCTCTCGAGGAGAAGGAAAGACATGCTTATGGTTTCAGAGTCACAGACGATCCGCTTCTGCACATCACGAAACGTCACGACCGACCGATATAATGAAGACTCGTGCATGCATAATATTTGATATTTAATTCAAATCCCACTCTGGTAGTTTAATAGACGTTTGGTTTAAATCGTTGGTTTATGAAGTGCATTAACCTGGATTTCCTCCTCATTCTGCTGTGGAGAATGTCTCGTTTCACCCACTTGAATAATTCACGTCATTCACTCCCTATTAAAGAGTCAAATCTCCTCCAATGAGACAAATGTGAACACACACAGAACAACTTCAAAACCAACACAAAATATTTTACTCTTCGATTAAGATACAAAAAGTACTTTGTTAAAGGAAGAAAGAAAGTGAAAGAAAGAAAACGAGAGAGAAAAAAAGAAAGAAAGAAAGAAAATAAAGGAAGGAAGAAAGAAAGAAAGAAAGAAAGAAAGAAAGAAAGAGAAAAGAGAAAGAAAGGAAGGAACGAAGAAAGAAAGAAAGAAAGAAAGAAAGAAAGAAAGAAAGAAAGGAAGGAAGGAAGGAAGGAAGAAAGAAAGAAAGAAAGAAAAGAGAAAGAAAAAAGAAAAAGAAACAAAAAGAAAAAGAAAAAGAAAAAAGAGAAAGAAAAAGAAAAAAAGAGAAAGAAAGGAAGGAAGGAAGAAAGAAAGAAACAAAAAAGAGAACGAAAGAAAGAAAAGAGAAATAAAGAAAAAAAGAGAAACAAGCAAACAAACAAAGAAAAAGAAAAAAGAGAAATGAAGGAAGGAAAGAAAGAAAAAGAGAGAAAGAAAGGAAGGAAGGAAGGAAGAGAAAAAAAGAAAGAAAAAGAAAAAAGAGAAATGAATGAAGAAAGAAAGGAAGGAAAGAAAGAAGAAAAAATAAAGAAAAAGAGAAAGGAAGAAACAAACAAAAAAAGAGAAAGAGAAAAAAAAGAAAGAAACAAAGAAAGAAAAAGGAAGGAAGGAAGAAAGAAAAGTGAAAGAAAAACGAAAAAAAGAGGAAAAAAGAAACAAACAAAGAAAAAGAGAAAGGAAGAAAGAAAAAAGAGAAAGAAAGGAAGGAAAGAAGAAAAAATAAAGCAAAAGAGAAAAAAGGGAAGGAAGAAAAGAGAAAGAAACAAAGAAAAAAGAGAAAGTAAGGAAGAAAGAAAAAGAGAAAGAAAAAGAAAGGAAGAAGAAAGAAAGAAAGAAAGAAAGAAAGGAATAAATTTGGTTATCAAATCAAAAATTGTGAACAGTTATCGCAGCGCTGCACAATTAATCGAAATTCTAATCATTACAAATACAGACGCTACAATTATATAATCGTTCAAAGGTGCAATTACAAAACAAATCTAATTACATTATTCTGTGTGCGTTTATCTTTCTACAGCTTTTCTTAAGGGGTTTCCCATTGTTTTAGTATAACATTATAATACCATGCATATTTTTTACTTTTTTAGGTTTAAAGAAGAAACCAAACCAATCTATAGTTGAAATCTGAGGCGTAATGCTACAGAAAAGCATTACAGGTTTGTCAGGCAGAGTGTTTTCAGCTTGTTTATTTTATTTTAATATAAATATATGGCATGAAGTGTCTTCAAACAATGGTATAAAGCTATTCAAAACATCATTCAATGTAAACTGTTATAATCGTAATTAATATCAAGGGAATAATCAACAATTATGATTTTTGTCATAATCGTGCACCCCTAAGTTATAGGGATTTTTGTGTTAAAAAAAAATGTTATGTAGTGTTGTGTTTATTTTATTTTAATATAAATATATGGCATGAAGTGTCTTCAAACAATGGTATAAAGCTATTCAAAACATCATTCAATGTAAACTGTTATAATCGTAATTAATATCAAGGGAATAATCAACAATTATGATTTTTGTCATAATCGTGCACCCCTAAGTTATAGGGATTTTTGTGTTAAAAAAAATGTTATGTAGTGTTGTTTTTTTTTAATATAATTATTATTATTATTTTTTTTATTTTATTTTTTTTTTTGACCCTGGGACTACAAATGAAAATTTGCCAATGTGCTAAATCTGGCACATTTTACATTGATTTTATTTACACGGCTTAGTTTTTTGGTTTTTTTTGGTTTTTGTATTGTGTCTTTTTATTTATTTATTTCTTACATATTTTTTTTACATATTTTACATATTTATTTGTACTCTTTTTAACACTTCTATATTTTTATTTTTTATGTATTTTTACACATTTTTATTTGTTTTAATTTTGTGTTTTTTATTTATTTTCTACACATTTTTATTTTTTTACATTTTATTTACAAACAAACACACAAATACTTTCCTATTCTCCTGATGTCACCTAGGCCTAATAATGTTAGTTAAAGTTAACAACCAATAGACAAATAAAGCATTATTTTAGCAAAATCACATTCAGGTCTGACCCCATTCTGGAATAAAATGCACAGTTTTCACATCTCAATCAACTCCTAATAGACAAAAAAAGTTTTCCTTATTGAATAACTATAGTTTCACTCAGAAAAACACCAGATCACAAAGTTCAGTGCTCGATATAACACGCCATCAGTTCCTGGCCAATAATCACACATCTGGAAAAGCCTGGCGAGAAATCTGATCCACAGTTTAAAAAACAATATTATTATTAGGTATCACGAGTCCTTTGATTCTTAAAGTGGCTCAAAAACACTTATATAGATGAGAAACTAAATCTGCTGCTCATCTGACAGCAATGAAGAGCTCAAACTCGCAGCTATGATCACAGTCTGATGCACATCAAGCACACGCCAGCTTGTGTTTTATTACAATTCATCTCCAAAGGTCTGTTATAAAACACTTCTCACAAAACCACACGGTGTGTTCCCATTAGAGGAACAACACTGACCTCCAGTGGCTGCAGACAGAAATTCAACCAGAAAAAAAACCCTGTTTTGAATGATTTTTAAAGCAATAGGAGACAAAAACACTGATTAAGAAAATCATTTTTAGGAGTGCACACAGACAGATTTGTCAAATATGATGAATGTAATCAAGGCAGACTGAATAATAAGGCTGAGATTGATGGGATAATACCAAGTCCTTATTCACAGACAATGAATGCCGTAGTTTGAAAGCTCACACAGATCCATACATGCATATATAAAATCCTCTCTCCTTCTGTCTGGATCCTCTGACCATTTCAGCATGCGAGCAAAGAAACGCTACACACATAAGATGCACATCTCAAAAATAAACTAGTCGCCAGGTTAGATTTCTACTCATACAGAAATCTAATATATGACATACATTATAGAGCCCTAAATCGAGAGCCATATTGCAACATATATATTAACTATAAGTTGATATATATATCATTTTCACATATCTACATTTTCTGGGTAGATGAAGATATAAGTTTATAACATTTGCAAGTTTTACTATAGGGATTTAATAAATGCACATATGTTAATATCTATATAATGATTTTTTTTTTTTAGGTATTATATGTAGCAACCATATACAGAGTGTGAACAATGTATATTTTATTTATATGTGCAACTATTAAAACGATATATATATACAAAAAATCTATATATTTTTACTTTTTGTAATTTTTGCATTTCTCATTACACACTTATTTTTTTATTTTTGTGTATTTTTTTATTAATTTTTAACGAATGAACGGATACTTCGTCTCTGAAATGAATTCCCTTTTCACCTGGCGTCATGTTTTTGTAATAATAATTTTTTTAAATACATCTATTTTTTTTTTATATATAATTATATAATTTTAAGCGTGATTCACCAATCAGATGCATTTCTAAGCAATTCATGGATATCACCGAATTGGCTGACAGAAATTCAACAAATAATCAGCCTTGCATGACATAAAACTACCATCGTTCACAAAAAACCTACAGATTCTGAATAATCACATGAGCGCTGCTCACAGCAGATGAGCAAAGTGTTGTAAACTATATTAAAAATGTATTTTTAAATGCATCCTGTTTAAAGCAGCACCGCTAAAAGAGAACAATCCACACAAAGCCACTAATCAGCCTCAATGACAAACTAGTGCTTGATGCAGAACTCATCTCTTATGCGTAACATGAGGGTCTATGCACGTACCAGTTTGTTCTCCTGCATGTAGATCCTCTGTAGTTTGCTGCACCCCTGCGCCAGCGCCACCAGACCCTCGTCACTGATGCTGTAGCACTGGCCGAAATGCACGTCCTTCAGCTCTTTGCAGTGTTCGCCCAACTGCACAAAACACACAAACATGCATTCGGTTCAGTACAGCCATACGACTGGATACAACAAAGCTTCACAAACTTTTTTTCCATCAGCCGAACCCCTATGAGCCACCATAATAGATCAAATATTATAACAGATAAAATAATAAAATCAAATTTAGCAACACATTCGCATGTTGACGGTTCTCTTACACCGATCAAATTCAAGTCCTTTTAAGGTGCATTTTTATGCAACTAACAGTTGTGGTAAATTACATATTAGCATAAAAACATTAAATCAGAAGTTGCATATGCAGATCTGCACTGCTTTGCTCAGATATATTTGTTTTGATTTTTTAAATACACTATGCAATATTAATTAGTAATTATACAATATAGTAAACAATTTAATAGATTATAGAGTATTCTGCAATTACAGCCAAGCTGTATAAAGCGTAAGCATCCTAACCATATTATCCTATGTTATCTAAAACATACACTGTTTAGTCAGAGAGTGAATTATTATGTAAGCAATACAATTACAATTTCAAGCAGTTTCAAGCACTTTTGCCAAACATTCAAGCACTTTTCAAAACTTGAACATATGGAAATGCAAGCATTTTCAAGAATTTCCAGCACCCGTATGAACCCTGCTAGTTAATGGTCACATGCAGCAGGTAAACAAAAAATATTTCTTTCTCTTTTTTTTTAGTGTATAAGTGTTTTGATTGTTTTCATTTTAAATATTTTAAAAAATATTTTTATTATTTATTTTTTTATTTTTAATATTTTTAAAAATATTTTTATTATTTTATTTTACATTTTTAAAAATATTTTATCATTTCATTTTAAATGTAAATATTTAAAAATATATTTTAAACAATTTTACATATTAAAAAAACAATTTTTTATATTTTTTTTATTTTAAACATTTTAAAAATATTTTATTTTTATTATTATACCATTACCCTGACATGAAATTACACAGACCATAACATGATAATGATCATACAACAACAAATTAGAATATCACATAAAACATGGATGGAAATGGTGCTTTATTTGCAAATCTTCACTTCCTGGGAAACTGGCGCTGAGGATCAATAAGTATATTACTTGCTTTTCATCAGTTGTAATAACAAATGCTGTTATGTGACTTTTTTGTAAATTTGTTTCTTTCATATTTTATGAACACATTTTCTTATCGAATAAAAAAAAATGTTTTTAATGTGTATTTTACGATTTTCCAGTGTTTTTTAATGCAATATCCCAAAATTCACATTAAAATATGCACATAGAAACATAGCTGTTGACTCATGAGCACACATATTTATCCCACGCATCCATCAAGTGACTTTAGATCTGTCCATGACGGCAGCTCACCAGTTTGAGAGCGTGGTCAGTGAGTTTGTCCTGGTTGCCGACATGCACTTTCTGCAGGAGCGGGCAGTGGATGGCCACGGTGCACAGAGACACGTCGCTGAGCTGCTTACAGCGGTACGCCGTGTATTTGATCAGACCGGGACAGTTAGACGCCAGAGAGCAGATGCCGTGATCCTGAACGTTACGGCAGTCGGAGATGTTGATCTCAGTGACGTTCTGCCTCCGGGACGCGATCTTCACCAGGAGATCGTCTTTAACCTGCGCTCACACAGACAACACATCAATGTTATCTTCATATTATTATTATTATATGTGACCCTGGACCACAAAACCAGTCATAAGGGTAAATTTCTCGAAATTGAGATTTATACATCATCTGAAAGCTGAATAAATAAGC